CCCTATATTTACAATACCTTTTGACTGAGATGTCTAAGGGCTTTAAACATATGCTTTAAGCAGCGGACAGTCAGGGCTGACATTTGTTACAAATCTTTTCAGAGGGCCATGTGGAAGAGATCTAATCCGGGAAGAGCCACTGCCTCCCTGTGTGATCTGCCACAGTGACATATCACTTGACCTCAGGCACGGCAGCTGTACAGCTAGGTGGAAAAATAGGGCCGGGCAGCAAACCAGGGGATGGATGCCTTTCAGCAGAGCTTTCCTGAGTAAATAATTTTCAAATCGGTGCCTTGGCTCCTTTCTTATTCCTCTGAAAGTTTTGGGTTTAGATCAAAATGAGGTTTTGCACCACTTCTTTTGGATTTTTTTTTTTGAATGAATGTGTTAACGCGGTCGTGTAATGTTTGTTATTTTTTGTAGTATTTGTAGGACAGAAGACAAAAGCCTGCTGTGATAGATGAGCTGTCGAAGCAAGGCTTCGGGCAGTGCTGCGGGGCAGGAGCAGGGCCGGCATTCTTCTGGGGGCAAAATACTGCGAAAGGCGGTGCAGCCCGTTACGAAACAGGGGATGGCTGCGGCGGGCTGAGGAAATCCTAGCCGGGAACACTCGCTGAGCCTCCCGAGAGCCGTGCCGAGCCGTGCCGTGCCGGCACCGCGGCTGCAGAGGGCGCAGCGTCCTCGCCGGAGCCGCCCCGGGGAGCCCCCCCCACCCCCGAGCCCTCCGGTGCCACCAAAATCTTTGCACACCTGTGCGCTCCCCGGCACGTTTTGGGGTAAGAAAGCGTTTTTCTGGTTTCGGCTAGTTGGATTACTTAAACGATTTGCAGTGCGGTCGGATAGGGCGGGTTGTGTTTGCTGTGCGACGGCTGCGGGTGCTGAAAGGGTGGGGGAAGCCGTCGGCAGCTGAGCCAGCTCCGTCTCTAAGTATGGTAGCGCTGCGCCTGGGCAGCAGCCCTCTCCCCGGCCAGATTTTTTGGCGTTGACATCACCCAGCGTTCAGGTTTCGGCTGGCTCGTGTCTGGGGATGACCTTAAACAGGAGGCTGCTTCCCTGCCCACACAGGACACGCACAAGTTTTCTGCTGTTTGTTGGCACGAGGTGTCTTCCTCACGTTATCCCTCTGTCCATGCAGGGGAGAGCCCTCGAGCCGCTGAACATCTGGAGAGCCACCCCAGTTGGCAGCTGGTGTCCCCTGTCTGCAAAGAAGCCTTTAGTGGGTACGATGCTGGTGCTGTCACATCATTGTGCACCGTGCTGCAGGGCAGAGGGAGAGGAGAGGTGTCCACCTGTGCCACAGGGAGCAGGACACCAAGGTGCCTTGTTGTGGAGAGTGTGCTGCAAAAGCAGGGGCTGGAAAAGGAGGAGGGAAAACTCTCCCAAACCATAAAGCTTGCAGACAGGATAAAGGCTGTTGTAGGGTGCTTTAAACCCAAATTGGTTGAAGTCCAATCATGATGGGACCTTAAGTGGTAAGGTGCAGCTTCCATCCCCAGGTATGTGACAATCCCAGCTGTACAAAAAGACACAGGCCAAGCAACGCTGGAAACAAACACATAAAAACAATCTCATTCCAGCTTGCAGCTAACAATCTCTGCAGCACAGCCTCTGCTGGAGCCACCAGCTGCCGGAGCTGACGTCCTCTCTGAGCAGCCCCGGCCCTCCTGCGTTCCCGAGCCCTCAGATGACAGCACGTGGATGTGCAGCCAGCCGTCAGCGGCGCATGCCGAGCGGGTTTGTTACAAAAATAGCAACACAATGGGTCTTCCCATTTTCCAGGGCGTCTTCCCCAGCCCTTACCCTTTTTACTGCCTCCGGGGAAACGTACAGGCATGTGAGGTGCTGTGTCCCAGCTGGACATGAACTGGAGGCATCACCAACTTCTGACAGCTTTACCAACTCTGCAGTTTAGAACTATGCATTTAGGAATTGCCTCAGTTTCTCTGTGACTGATAATGTTTGGGTTATTACATCTGGGCAGATCGTTACAAATAAAATTTGATTTTCACCAGTGACCTTTAATTTCATGTAACATGAACACAGACAAAAGCTAGGTAGTTTCTGTTTCTGTTTTTCAGACGTGTGCATGTGAATTGACAATAGACCAAGGGAAGATGAGGTCTGTAAAATATTTCTTTCATTTCTGTTTTAATGTTTCCTGCTGGTTTTGTACTATAGCTTTGGATCACAACTGTGATTTCCTCTGTTGCTGTAAAGAAGATGAAAAATGTTCACCATCCCTGGTATATGTGATGTCATACCTACTGCATTTTTGTTTTCTAGATTTTCTGGATGGGGTGTCTCATGACAACAGAGTCAAAGACAATGATGATTCTAAGCCAAACTTTTGAATCATTTATTCCAACTTTCTGAACTGAGAAAAATACCTTTCTCCGTATTTACACTTGACTTTAAATTAACTTTTGGATACTTGCAGTAACAGCATCCCCCAACAACAGAAGTCAGTGAGACCTTGTGAAGCTGCATCCCTTCACTTAGTAGCCTACAATAAGAAGGCTACAGTTTAAAAAAAAAAATCTGTACTTTTTTTGGTGTTTTTTGTTTGTTTTATTGTGTTCTCTTTTTCCTGGCAGATTCTAATCTATATGAAGTCTGACAATGTCCTTTTTCCTAAACAATGATATATTTTGTTGTATATATTGTACTTTCATATGCATATCCCATGTAATAAAAATAAAGAAACAATATGCATCTTGTCCCTGGAAGGGGCAAAGTCTCTGTAGAATAATATTACTGCTGCAGACTGTTTAAGGGGCCTCTGTTCTATGGTGTCCAGTAAAATAATTACTGCTTCTGTGCCTTCTTTTCTGTTTTGTCTTCCCTTTAGAGTAAACCAGGCCAAATCCTGTAGGACCATGAGGAAACTGCTTGAGAGTAAGGCTGCAATATGCATGTGTGCCAAATTGCTGTCAGATTCACAGCCATTTCCTGAGGGACACCTGAACAGAACCGAGGTGCTGTGTCTGAAGTTCTCCCTGCTGTATTTTATCCATTATTTAGACACTGTTGAGAAGAATATATCACTGTATATAAGAGCATAGACAAGTTGTGACAAACCACACAGACGGAATATTAAGGAATCATCCTTCCTCCTGCACAAGGCATTCAAAGAGCAAGACCTTTTCTCTTTTGCAGATGGGGAGGACATCAGCATTTCAGTGAGTAGCACAGGCACATTCTGAGTGGTAGGGAAAATACAAAATATATTGGAAAACACTTCTGTGATGACAACTGTCATGGTGGAACAGACCCAACTGGGACAGATTTGCCTTGCGCCTTGCTGCTGTGGTGTTTGTCTTGCTGAGTGTCTGATCAGCCAAGCCAAACTTCCCCGACTTGAAGGAGGGCTCAGTTGGGTCATGTATTGATGTATTTATCAGGGCAAACTCTGTTTGGCCTCAACCAGATTTTTTTAATAATGTCTTTCTTAACAGTGTCTTGCTTTTGCATGTCTGTTTTTACAGTCTTCTGCATTTTGTCCTGCTTTGCCTTTAGCCTTTATGCTGAAAAATGTTAGAACAGTAGTTATCATCCACTAAGTGCACATCCTATGTTGTTCTTTCTTGTTGAGAAGAAATCTTCGTGCCTTAGTAAAATCTGTGGCTCTGTTTGGAAAAGTCTTTTTTCAAAAATACAAAGTTTTCACTTAAGGTAGCATAATTTTCTTTTTTGGCTCATTTATTTTATCTCAGTTCTCTACCTTTTAATTGCTGTAAAAATTGGCAGACCACTGAGCTGCCAGGGCTATGTGACCCTGGAAAAGGCAGGTGCAGCTTTTGGCTCGTGCCATTTCAAAAGCACTGGGGAGAAGCAATGTGGAATACTATGTGCAATTCTGATCATAGCATTCCTGACAAGGTGTCACCAGTGCCTTTTACAATGGCATGAAACTTCCCTGTGCCTATTAAAAATACCTCAGCTGATAGGGCCAAGAACTAGATGTGCCTTCTCAAAAATGGGCTGAAACTGGAAAAGGTGCTGAGATTGCATGGCTGTGTGACCAAGGGAAAAGAAACATGAAAATATGCCAAGAGATTTGAGAACTCGGTTTCTTTGAATTAGCAAAATCAATGCTGAGAGAGGTTATGGTGGCTGTCTATAGATGCAAAAGATTATGAGGACTGGGGACTATAGGATTTTGTCTTAGCTGATTATCTTTAATAGAGCAGAAAGGGGCCGTCTGATCCATATCAGTTCAGATGAAACAGTCTCGTCTGACTCGAGTTCAACAGGTATGGTTGTGCTTTGTTTCAGTAAGGCACCCTGACAGCCCCTGCAGTAAGGCTGTCGCTCAGCAGGCTTCCTGCTGGCGGTGTGTCACAGCAGGCTGCAGAAGGTAAGCAGTCACATATTAGTGACATGACCAAATCCATCCTTGCACATGAACACTCAAGAGAGAAAAGAGGACAGTTAGGCTATAGGCAGACTTTTTGCATAACCTGCGTTTTTTGCTTGGCCTGGGAAATTCCCTCCTTGAACTTATGATTTGAGGTCATCTTTTTGATTTAGCATTATTAAAAATGTTTGCTCTTTGAAATACCTCTCATCTTTCCCGTTAGTAGCCTTTACTCATGAATGACGTAAGGAGGACTGTTTTGAGAAATGGGCCGAAGAATGGCCAAGACAAGGGAAGTTGGAGCAAAGCAGAAGTATGTAAGGTAGCATTTGACATAAACCTGCCTGCCTTGTTTCCAGACTGCAGAGGTGTCTGTTCATCTCACAGGGCAGTTTTATTATCCCCAGCATAGCTACTGATGATTATCCTGATGAAAGATAATTTGTCATGATCTAGTCCTGCCCAAATACCTACAACCCGTTTCTGGGTTTAGTGAGAAATCTTCCTTACCAGTTCCAGTCAACCTTTGAGCATGTCTCTGCAGAAGGACATAAAACCCAGCAGGACTCCCTTATCACATGGCATTAAGTGACGTGATGCTGTCATTTTCGATACGTGTGACTTCTTGCCTCCGACCCCCATGCTGAGATCTCGTGTTCCTTTTTTCCCCAGGGTCATGTCTTACACAGAGTCCCCACTGTGGCTTTGCTCTGCTGGGTCAAGGGAAACACGAGATGACAATTTTTGCCCTTTCCTATCACTGGTTAAATTGGTAGAAGGAAGAACAAGAGGTCTGTACAGATTTTATCTTCAAGTTTGATTTTATAAAGTCAGGGGAAAATGTGATGACAGACCCACTCCCAGGCTTTGGACCTCGTGCACCTGTAAGAGAGGGGCACAGGATGGCATCTAACAGCTTTCTAGCTGTCCCAGCTTGTAACTATTTTCTTCTGAATAGTAAACATGCAATTCAAACCTTTGCAAAGACTTCTTGTGTTTTTGCAGTGGCCACACTGCAAATATTACGTGCACATAGAAGATCTAAGCATCCATGTAGGCTGTTGTTTTCCGCAAGGTTTTGTAAGTTTGGGGGAAACTTATTAAGTACTGTTTCTCTTTCTTTCTTTAAAAAAGACAGGGAGAGAAAGCCTGCATTTTCTGCCATTTCCCAAGAGGCTTTTTATCTGTTTAAACCAACTAGGGATTTTTCACATATTGACATAAGCATTCATTTGCTAATTTGCTGGACATTAAACTGCACAGCATTCGTGAATGAGGCTGGAATACTTGGGTACTTAGTGCTGCTCAGAGCCCGCATCATTCCCAGTACACATATGGTTTTTCCTCCTCTATCTCCTAGATAAAAGTCACTGTTTGATCGCCTTAAGGAAAAGAATGAGTTAAATGGACCAATATTCTAGCCTTGGCTCTAAAACTGGGCCTTTTCAGAAACTCCTCAGCACCTGCAGCAGCTAGGTCATTTGCACATACATAAATAAATAAATTAACAATGAATAAATAATTTAATCCCGCCACACAATGCCACCTTGCAGATCTGATCCTTTGCTCCCAGTGAATTTGTCCATTCCTAATTCTTTTTGATAAAGTCCTCAGATACTTGCTGACTGTCAGTCTAATTTTCTTATTGTTTTCGCTTGATTAGTTCTGTATGACCTAAGGTCGCCCTTAAAATCCACATCTCTCGTGAAGACTCCGAAAGGCCTTCTTTTTTTCAAAGGGATGGAAAGTGCCTGCCATTTCTCCGGACAAAAGCCTGGAAGGTTTTCAGTTATTAGCCTCCTGAAGCAGCCCTTTCGCTCACCCAAGCGCAAAAAAAACTCATTAGGGGGCACCTTTCTTTCTGCCTTCTTTATCTGGCGCATGTAGGGTTTACGTGTTTCAAGATTTTCAGGTCTTGGCTGAATTCGGACAGCCTCCCTTTTAACCCTGCCGGGCTGTGCTGATGCCCTCTGCAGACGCTGGCTGCATCTCTGTGCACTTAACCACCTGGAGAGACGTCGACTTTTTTAGAAGCTGTTTTACACCCCCTTCACGACGAGGAGCACACACTGCAGTGTGTGGTAATTCGCAACCATGCTCCTGCAGAGGGTGGGTGGAAAGGCAGGCAAGGCTGCCAGCTGCCGATGGGCTCCACGTTCTGCACTTGGCCATTAAAACACAAAAATCAGAGTTCGTGTCTCAGCCACACCACCCCCCATGACCATCGGGGGGGTTTGCAGGACTAAGGCAGCACAGCACCGTGAGCCTGCCAGGGCTGGGCTGGATTATACCCTGTCAGGATCAGTCTTTTTCAGGCAGCAAGGTAAATACTGCTCCTGTGTAGGCTGAAGTCACCTCCCTGAGCTGTGGCAGCTGGCACACCTCAGCTGTCTGGGCATCTTGCCCTTCAGAAGGAATGGGCCAAGTTTCATCGCCTGCTTTCTCTGGGGCTGGCAGAGGTGATGGAGCAGCATCCCACCCACTCTGTTTGCACACCATACAGCAGTGCCATACCTGCGGTTACCTTTTAAGAAGAAAACCAGCCTGAAAGTGTGCTGGCAGGTATTACAGTGATGTTTCTCACTCAGTGAGTCTCTGATATGCTTGTTAAGGAGATAACAGAGATAAGAGTCCACCAAAGACAGTTGCAATAATAGAGAGTGTTTTCTCTCTCAGGAAAGGGCTGATTAGTTTCTTTGATGAGAGACCTGTTTTGTCTGGGACCTGAGCCTAAAGAGAGCACAGAAGCAGGAGGAAAATAAGTGGGACCAGGAAGAGAGCAGCACAGGTGGAAGATATCCTGGGCAGGCATAGAAGAAGATGTCTTGCTTTTGCAATACTGTTTCTCCTTGTCCTGAAGAGCAGCTCTTCATCCCTCTGGGTTAAAATCAGGTAGGAGAACTCAGGGCTGCGGCTGAGGTCCTGCTTCCAAGCATGCAGATGGCAGCTTTGTGGCAACTCCTCTTGGTCCTGCCTGTTTTCACATCCAAGGGAAATGGTCTGTGTTAGGCTGGACGAACTCACCAATGTGACCACTATTTTATTTTTCCTAACTGGCCAATTCCTCTGAAATCCCCAGTGATACTAACACTTAACAACACCCATTTTTTACCAGTTCCTCTGAAATTGGAGTGAAATCAGCCCTCGGTAAAATAAAGGCTGAATTTAAAGTAAGGCTGAAGTTGTATGCAGATCCTTGCAGGTTCAGTACTACCCACTGCATTTCTCTTTCTGCTGCCATAATTCTGAGCAGCTGTCAGCTGGAGTTTAGTGTAACATAAAGTGGAAGCTGCGACCTGCTCCACAGAACAAGGCAGCAGTTACATTACGGTCTGAAGGACAGCAGAAATAAGACGAAAAATCACGAGGAGGAATTGTGTCAGTGTGATAACAAGAAAAGTCTTTTTTATACCTTTTCACGTCCATGTCCTTTCCACCAAAGCTATTCAGGGATAC